ATACAAACAGTCCGAGGCAACCAAAAACAGAGACAGTAGACAAGCAGGTCAGAGAACATGACCTCTGCAGGTAGGGAGGGGAATCTCCAGCCAAGAATGTGACACATACTAAGCCATATTACTCAGTAACTACAGGGACTTTAGTGCAAACTGGTTGAGCTATTCTCAGGTTATAAAAGTGTGTAATAAAACTTTGGGCCCGCAGGTGGGCCCTGGCCATTTAAGGGGTTAAATAAACAAAAGGATGGTCTCTGACTTTTACGCAGTACTTTACTCAATTCAGATGTGTCCTCCATTTCCACATTATAAACCTGGAATCTATTTCTATTACAGCACAAATGCACAAAAAGAAGAAGATAACAAGAAAATCCATCCACACCCTGCCCAGAATGTCCTGAGGTTGAAGCTTCCATGTGGCAAACTCTGAAGATCATTTCATTAGATGATGGATGACATGGAAACAACTAGTGTTGACCAAACACATATATAATTAGATTTGCTTCCATAAAAGTTAATCTAATTTCACTTTAACTCCAAGCTTTCACAGACAGACCATGGCACTTCTGTACTGGATGCGTCTGCCAGCTTTGGTGTCCTCTTGTGTGACACTTGGCCTGGTAGCACATGCAGGTGGATTGGCTGGAGGAGTTGGTGCGTGGTGTATATTTTGCTGGACCTTCAGCTTCATTGGCACTCTTCTGATCTTTCTGGTGGAGACGTTTCACTTGACAAAGTATGTCACGGAGTTCTGGGTCAACTTCCCAGTCACCTTCTCCAGCTATGCAGCACTGCTGTGTCTCTTTGCCTCCATCATCTTTCCCCATAACTTTATAGATGGCCAACAGAAGTACGATGCGCACAACCACCTTATAGCAAGTGAGATTTTCTCTTGTCTGGCCACTTTGGCGTACATGCTTGAGATTTGGGTTGCACGGGTGGAGTCAAAGTGCTACATGGCCACTGCACGAGGTCTTCTGCTGGTCTGCCAAACCTATGTGGCGGGGATCATCTTCTTCTTCATCAGCAGTCCAGTGTCATACACGGACCAGGCTGCTGTGAGGTGGTGCATGGCAGTTTACTGCATTTGCTTCATCTGCTCAGCAGGTGGCATCATCAAGATTGTGATCTGTAACCTTGAGGAGCCAAGATGGCTAAAACACTACAGCTTGTGTGCTGCTATTCTGTACTTCAGTGCGACCATCATCTGGCCCGTGTTCAAATTCAACAGCCATTATCCAAGTCAAATCTACCCCCCTGAATCCTGCCAGGGTGGTGTAAGATTGTGTCCTTGGGGCAGATTGGTAGTAGTGTCTGTGCTAACTTCCCTCAACTTCCTGCTTTACTCCTTCAGTATGTGTTGCTCCTCCTGCACTTCAGACTCAGAAAATGAACACCAGTATGGTGGACTCCCAGACATATCTACAGTACAAGCCCAAAGTCCTTCACAGCAGACATGGGAAATACAGCAGTACACATCAGATCCAGGCAGACGACTGCTAGGAGACAGGAACCTGCGCATCTACCAGAGCCTGAACCAGCCCAATCTTGTGATGGTTGAACCAAATGTGATTGTTTGTAATGCGGCCTTTGTCAGACAGACTTATTTAAGCCAATAGACTTCAGTGAAGCAATGTTAAAACACAAACCTTCAGATGGGATGATATGAAAATGAAAATGAAATGAACCTTTTTTAGCCAACTGTGTCTGAACACATCAGAATTAGACCTCCGCATTTAACCCATCTGTGCAGTGAAACACCACATACACACCAGTGAACACACACACACTAGGGGGCAATGAGCACACTTGCCCGCAGCTGTGGGCAGCCTTATCCACGGCGACCAGGGAGCAGTTGGGGGTTAGGTGTCTTGCTCAAGGCCACTTCAGTCACGTACTGTCAGCTGAAGGGAATCAAACTGGCAACCTTCTGGTCACAAGGCTGGTTCCCTAACCTCCCATGACTGCCTCAATAATATTTTTATTGAATAAAAGTTGTACTGCAGTAAGTCACTGTTTTTAACATGTTTCTTACTAAGAGAGTAAACATATTTATTTAATATTTCTCTGTATGTGCTAAAAGGAAGAAAAATCTAATTACAAAACCGTTATTTTTCTTTTTCCTCATTTTTATTTAGTAGTAGAGAAATTTTATCTATATATTTCATGATCATCCTAATGTTTTCTATAATATAATGATATAAATATTCTTGATGCAGCACAGCAATTCACTTCAGTTCACATAAGTACTTTTATTTTCCAGTTTTTGTCTAATTTTATGAATCATATATGAAAGTAACCATAGCGATAGTGTTTCTTACATTTTTGCCTTTTCCTTGTTACTAATATGGCATGTCATTGTTATGAATTTGTTTACAATTGTTTAGTGAGAATTACTGGGGTTTAATTTGAGTCATAAGCATTTAATAACTCACAATAACTGAGATTAAAATAATATTTACATTTTTCTGTAATTGTATACAAAGTGGGGCTAATTATATGTGGTGTTCTAATAATGTGCTAACAGGCTTGTACAATAAAGCACTTTTTTTGTACACGACTAACCAGTCCTCAAACCTTTCACTATATTTTACCAGCATGTATGAACAGTATAAGGTTATTATATATCAAGGCTGTTGAGTAATGTACTGAGCAAATTAGTAGCATATTAGTAACAGTGTGTGTCCACAGGCAGATATTTTTGTACAGATACTTATTTGGACAAAACAGACAGTCTACAAATGTATTTCATTGAGAGAAAGTTTCAGTTGATTTTATCTGCTATTTGGGCTGTTAAAACCTCAGGGATGGATTAATGAATTGTAATTTTCTTTCCATCAAAATGAAATGAAAGACCAATATAAGTACCTTTCCCTTGATGCCCATTGAAAGACTGAACCCTCTTGCTGCTGATTTCTAGCAAATATATGAATGATTAATTTCTGCATGCAATATTTGAATCTGTGCCATAAGTTCAGAGTGGCTTCAAAACAACAATCAATATTTTCTCAAAAGGGACTAATTATCTATTTCCTTCAAACTTTCTCCTGAATCAAAACAGTTATTAACATATGAAAAAGTGACAGATGAGCTATGATTTCATGGTTATATAGATTTTTTTCAACATGCCGTATCTGACTTGCAAGCACGGTATGAACGAATAGTAAACAGTATAGTGGCATTGGTCCTGCTCAAACTTCAAACTGTCAAAGACTATTTGGAGCTCCATAGACTGTAGGCTTATGCTACGACTGTAATAATGGCCAAGGAATCTATTCTACGTTTTGAACAAGCAAGGAAACATTTCATTGCCGTTCTTCTTAACTGCTGGTAATATGACCTCCTCTGTGGTACACCTTGTGTTAACATTGCTTTTGTCCTACTGCCATCTATATACCTGTGCTCACCCTCGCCACCCAGTGTTGGATTTACATAATTGCGCCAAATTGTTCCTACAACAGTAAGCCTTTATTATACTCCAAAAGCCTTTATTAAACTCTAAAAGCCTTTATTATACTCCAAAATTTAATTTTTAGAGGTAACATATTCTTCTATTTCTTGTAGATGGGGATCTGTTATGTACAGAATCCTTAATCTCACAGTCTCTCTGAGTCATTCCAATAAGTGTCCTGTCTTTTGGCCATGAAAATATACAAACAATTACAAAGACATCACCATGGTCATCTGACGTTTCCAGATGGCAACGTGGCCACCATTTCTCATTGCAACAATGCTCTTCTACTTGCAAATTCGACATTTTCTCAAATCCTTGCAAGATGCAGGTAGACTGAGAATAGAGCTGACTGAGATAGAGGAGCTTCTGGATGGGCACTGTGGCCTGAAAGGGCTTGTATCAAAAATATATAACTTATTGTCTGGTGTACGTACATCTTCTCTACCTTATCTGAGGGGTATGTGGGAGCGACATCTGGGCATGAACATAAGTGATGATGATTGGAAATTGATTTGGGAAGGCTTACAGCCTAGAGTATGCTCGACATCTCTTCATGAAATTAATTTTATCAATAAGACTTATCTTATGCCAGTTTGCCTCCATAAGATCTCCCCAGATTGCTCAAATCTTTGCTTCAAATGTAAACAGGAAAGAGGTACATATATGCACTGTTTTTGGTCATGTGACAAGATACAATTTTACTGGAAGGGGATCCACCGTGAACTTGAAAAAATATTGAAGGTTCGTTTAGTCTTCTCTCCTGCTCTGTTCCTATTAAACTTTGATATGGAATCTGTACTTGACTATAAATCAAAGCACCTGTTTATTTATATTAGTATATTTGGCCAAGAAATGCATTTTACTTTTGTGGTCAACTCCTCAGGTTCCATCTGTTGATCTCTGGTTGTCCCAAGTTACAACAGTGCTTCCATTAGAACTACTAACCTACAACTTAAATCAGAAAATGTATACGTTCTGGCAAATTTGGCAGTTGTTAATGTCTTACCTTGAGGAATTGTCTTAAATAGTCAATTTCTCCCCCCCCCACACACACAATTTATCATGTCCACTGTTAACCATGAGTATGTATGTTCCAAGGTAACTGTATCTGTGAACCTGATTATGTGGGCAAATAAAATGTTCATTATACAACAACGCTCTTCACTGCCTCTGCTGATTTCACCTGGATACACATTTGCTGCTGCTGGAGTCAATGATGTTTTCAAACCCTGATGACATACTTGATGTGCTCCTGATCTGCTAGTAACGTTCCTGCAGTTGGAATGTAAGAAAATCAATTTGATGGTCAGCAATGTAGGATGCATTTTGTGTTTATGTTAATGAGACATATCTGTTCCTCTTTGGCTCATATTAAAAAGAAGGAACTAAGATTAGTTTGATGAGTCAAATATGTCTAAAATGTTTTTGAAGTATAGCACAGTTTCAGCTCAGTCATTCTATAAACAAACTAAAAGTTGAAGATGCAGATTTAGAACCTGATGGTGCAAAATTTACCAAATTAATTACTTAGTAATTGGAGTAACACTATGACATTTTGCATGGCTGTGTAAGATGACACTTTTTTATTTGGTCTCCCCTCTATTTATTCTGAGTAATACCTCTTACCACCAGCAGGCGACAGCAACCCGCCATTAAACCAAGATGAACAAAAGCTGACGCAGTAATATTTCTTTTTGTTTCCCTATAAAATAAAAATAATTTAATATACATATTTGTATAGTAGTGTACAAATATGCACAAGAATATAGGCCTATTTCTTCCTCCACAGAAAACAGCATCCACATTATCAGCCTGTTTTCTTTACAAAAAGAAGTAAAAAATGTTAATAAATAAATAGACTTCTTAGTGTATCATATAATGATGTCACTTCAACAGTTACAGTTTCTCATGCCCTCATTAGGTGTGTCTAAGACAAGCAAGGTATTTAAAAGTGATTGTTAATAGGTAATTAAGTTTTTTAGCAATTAGAAAAAAGCATTTACACATTATATCAGTCGTAGTGCTGTGGCAAAATCCAGTGTCATTTACAAAGTAATCTCATAATGACATAACAGTCCAGATGTTATAGCTTTGAAAATATTAACTTTGGCAACTTGATCCAATAGTTTAAGATGTAAAGTTCCACACAGGACCAGAACCTTCATGTATCACTGCTTGAACAACGTAGCCACGAAGTTCATGAGCAGTTTTTCTGTCTCAGTAAAGAAGGAGGTCTCTTTCCTTGCAGTTGGTCCCTCCCTGCTCTTTACGCTGTTATTTGAAAGCAGGGAGGAGCTTCACTGGGTATTTTGCTTCATGCATTCGTATGAGGAAGAGTTTTTCACTTCCATCCTCCAGCAACGCCAGTAAAAAATCATCTTTGAGGTGAAACCATGCACAGTGAGTACCTTCAATTTTGAAAGCTTATGATTTTTCTAGTGTTATTTGAGAGTGTGCTTCATATATTGTACACATCTTTTACTTTCACTTTCTATAGAATAGTGCGTCAAAAAGACAAGCACTGCTGAAACAGCAGACAACTAAACAGAAACACACTGAGTTCTACATAGACGCTCCTGAAATTGTGCATTTAATGCAGTAACCAAAACTCAAGTAGTGACTCAAATAGAAAGAAAGTTTCCAAAATCATTTAAAAAACAACTTGAGCAGAAGTGCAGACGTAGCAGGTCTAAAAAGTACTTACTGAGTAACTTACAGAACTGCAGTGGAACTTCCATTAACTGTCAGTGTAAAAACTAAAGATTATTGGGAGTTATTCATTGCTGAGAAACAGAAAAAAAAAGAAAATTTGCACTTGAACACAAGAACGGATGTGGAGTAAGGTTTTATGGACTGCTGAGTCTAAATTTGTCATTGAGATAAGTCGGATTGTGAGAAGTAGGAAATGCAAACGAATTCTAGGACTGTAGCTGTGGACAAATATCCCTGCAGATTTTCTTGACAAACTGAAAGCAAGTCTCCAGAAAAGAATAGAAACTGTAATAAAGGCAAAGTGTGGACCCAAGAAATACTGAAAAATGTGTATTAGCTGTTGAGACATCTGTGTAGTTTTCTGTGGAAATCTCCAGCCAAGAATGTGACACATACTAAGGCTTATTATTCAGTAACTACAGGGACTTTAGTGCAAACTGGTTGAGCTATTCTTAGGTTACTAAAATGTATACTAAAACTTTGGGCCCGCAGGTGGGCCCTGGCCATTTAAGGGGTTAAATAAACGAAAGGATGGTCTCTGACTTTTACGCAGTACTTTACTCAATTCAGATGTGTCCTCCATTTCCACATTATAAACCTGGAATCTATTTCTATTACAGCACAAATGCACAAAAAGAAGAAGATAACAAGAAAATCCATCCACACCCTGCCCAGAATGTCCTGTGGTTGAAGCTTCCATGTGGCAAACTCTGAAGATCCTTTCATTAGATGATGAATGACATGTGTTGACCAAACACATATATAATTAGATTTGCTTCCATAAAAGTTAATCTAATTTCACTTTAACTCCAAGCTTTCACAGACAGACCATGGCACTTCTGTACTGGATGCGTCTGCCAGCTTTGGTGTCCTCTTGTGTGACACTTGGCCTGGTAGCACATGCAGGTGGATTGGCTGGAGGAGTTGGTGCGTGGTGTATATTTTGCTGGACCTTCAGCTTCATTGGCACTCTTCTGATCTTTCTGGTGGAGACGTTTCACTTGACAAAGTATGTCACGGAGTTCTGGGTCAACTTCCCAGTCACCTTCTCCAGCTATGCAGCACTGCTGTGTCTCTTTGCATCCATCATCTTTCCCCATAACTTTATAGATGGCCAACAGAAATACGATGTGCACAACCACCTTATAGCAAGTGAGATTTTCTCTTGTCTGGCCACTTTGGCGTACATGCTTGAGATTTGGGTTGCACGGGTGGAGTCAAAGTGCTACATGGCCACTGCACGAGGTCTTCTGCTGGTCTGCCAAACCTATGTGGCGGGGATCATCTTCTTCTTCATCAGCAGTCCAGTGTCATACACGGACCAGGCTGCTGTGAGGTGGTGCATGGCAGTTTACTGCATTTGCTTCATCTGCTCAGCAGGTGGCATCATCAAGATTGTGATCTGTAACCTTGAGGAGCCAAGATGGCTAAAACACTACAGCTTGTGTGCTGCTATCCTGTACTTCAGTGCGACCATCATCTGGCCCGTGTTCAAATTCAACAGCCATTATCCAAGTCAAATCTATCCCTCTGAATCCTGCCAGGGTGGTGTAAGATTGTGTCCTTGGGGCAGACTGGTAGTAGTGTCTGTGCTAACTTCCCTCAACTTCCTGCTTTACTCCTTCAGTATGTGTTGCTCCTCCTGCACTTCAGGCTTAGAAAATGAACACCAGTATGGTGGACTTCCAGACACATCTACAGTACAAGTCCCAAGTCCTTCACAGCAGTACACATCAGATCCAGGCAGACGACTTCTAGGAGACGGCAGCAGGAACCTGCGCATCTACCAGAGCCTGAACCAGCCCAATCTTGTGATGGTTGAACCAAATGTGATTGTTTGCAATGTGGCCTTTGTCAGACAGACTTATTTAAGCCAATAGACTTCAGTGAAGCAATGTTAAAACACAAACCTTCAGATGGGATGATATTTTTTATTGAATTGCAGAACAAGTACTGCTACTAAGTTGTACTGCAGTAAGTCACTCTTTTTAACATATTTCTTACCAAGAGAGTATGCAGATACTATTTCTCTGTAAGTGCAAAAAGGAAAAAAAATCTAATTACAAAACCTGTTATTTTTCTTTTTTCTCATTTTGATTTAGTAGTAGAGAAATTTTATCTATATATTTCATGATCATCCTAATGTTTTCTATAATATAATGATATATATTGATATAAATATTCTCCATGCAGCACAGCAATTAACGTCAGTTCACATAAGTACTTTTATTTTTCAGTTTTTGTCTAATTTTATTTTTTTGCACTTGGAATATGAAAGCATACAATAATACATTAACCAAATTACATTATAATTGATAGGCAGAACTAAACAATAATTAGTCATTACTAATTTAATACCTGCTTTTTATATGTTAATATGTTGTAACACAAGCATCCTTTGAGTGTGTCATGTGGAATGTAGCAGTTATGTAAGGTGTAATAAGCAATACCATGCTTAATAACCATAGCACTAGTGTTTCTTACAGTTTTGCCTTTTATTTGCTACTGTAATACGGCAAACTGTAGTTATGAATTTGTTTACAATTGTTTAGTGAGAGTGACTGGGGTTTAATTTGAGCTTGAAACAATAATGCACAATAACTGATATTAATAACATTTACATTATTTTGTAATTGTATGTGGTTAATTATATGTGGTGTTCTAATAATGTGCTAACAGGCTTGTACAATAAAGCACTTTTTTACCCACAACTAAACCAGTCCTCAAAATTCTCACTATATTTTACCAGCATGTATGAACAGTATAAGGTTATTATATATCAAGGCTGTTGAGTAATGTACTGAGTAAAAGAGCATATTAGTACAGTGTGTGTCCACAGTCAGATCTACCTCAAAAATTACTTCATGCGGTAACAAGTAAATTAACCAGATTTATATAGCCTAAATAAATTCTTTGAATGATTCTTTCAATCAGTGTTTTTTTAGTTGAATAAAACTAGTTCAATTGCGTGTTACCGCATGAAGTCATTTTTGTAGGTAGATCTGACGAGCCACTTTTTACAGTGTAGTGCTGTTTGTCCTACTCAGACTTACTGCCAAAGGCCACTTGGAGCACCATAGACTGTAGGCTTATGCTGCGCCTGTAATAATGGCCGATTTTATTCCACATTTTGATTAAGCAAGAAAACATTTCACTCATGATCATCTGAAGTCTCAACAGCCACGTTTACATGCAGCCTAATAATCCATTAATAATCTGACTAATAGCTCAATCAGAATAGAATACGTCCATGTAAACACTTCAATCAGAATAGTCTAGTCCAATTGGAATACAATTTCTATCCGATTGACCAAGGTGGGTAATCCTGTAAATAATCCATTACATAGAAGAATAATAGCCATTTAAACGCCTGTATCAGATTACATTTCCAATCGGAATGTGTAAGTACATTTTGTGCATCACGTCATAGCAAAAGCAGAGAACTCATAAACCGGCTCTGGCAAAAGTTTATAACGTTCAGCACGGCAGAGCAGAAACTGGTCTGCAGAGAAGACGAAGTTTATGCTCTGATCTTTAAAAGACGGCGGTGGGACGGACGTCCATCTTAAGTGTCTCAGAGCACGACGTCTTCCTCTCAGTCTTCTTTAATAAGGACATGCGAAGGACGTTTTCCTGAGTCTGACATCATTTTAAAGTCATTAAAAACTCAAGCGCGCCAACTGGAAACTCATCTCACTCAGACTGGACCTCACGTGATGCTCGCTATCGTGGTACCGTTTACTCTAAGTGGTTCTCCACGCAGGCGCATCATTTTGGATCAAATTACTTGTAGTAAGTAGTATGTAAACGAAGATTTGTTGAATAGGGTGAGCAGATAAACTCAGTCTGAATCTGTAATCGAAATGTATTCATTTCATTTTGTGTTTATGTTAATGAGATTTATCTGTTCTTATTCAGTTCTTATTAAAAAGAAGGAACTAAGATTGGTTTGATGAGTCAAAAGTGCCTAAAATGGATTTTTCAAGTATTGCATGCAAAATTGATAGGTTTGATGGAGATGTAGGAAAACTACACAAAACCTTGGTTTTACAACAATAATTTTGAGAATTGAATAAAAGATTAAATTTAAAGATGAAATTTTGCACACGCTGACCTAAGAATGTACATCTTCCAATAAATTAATCTCTCATGGACAATTATTAACATGCAACCAGTTGATATAAAGTGAAATATTATTCTTACTGTTGAATTTAATATCAAGTTAGCAGAGTTTCAGCTCATTCTGTAAACAATTTAAAAAAGTAATTGGAGTAACACTATGACATTTTGCATGGCTGCATGTGATGACATTTCTTTTATTTGTTCTCCTCTCTATTTATTCTGAGCAGTAAGCCTATACAAAAAGAAGAAGATAACAAGAAAATCCATCCACACCCTAACCGGAATCTCATGAGGTAGAAGCTTCCATGTGGCATACTCTGAAGATCCTTTCATTAGATGGTGAATGACATGGAAATAACAAGTGTTGACCAAACACGTATATGATTAGATTTGCTTCCATAAAAGTTAATCTAATTTCACTTTAATTCCAAGCTTTCACAGGCAGACCATGGCACTTCTGTACTGGATGCGTCTGCCAGCTTGGCAGCCAACAGTATGCATTGCTCCTCCTGCACCTCAGACTCAGAAAATGGTTGTTTAGTGAGAGTTACTGGGGTTTAATTTGAGTTATAAACATTTAATAACTCACAATAACTGATATTAATAACATTTACATTATTTTTAATTGTATGTGGTTAATTATATGTGGTGTTCTAATTATGTGCTAACAGGCTTGTATAATGAAGCACTTTTTAACACATGACTAACCAGTCCTCAAACTTTTCATTATATTTTAACCCCTAAAACTCATACTACCTATTACATACCATAGCTTATTATTCAGTAACTACAGGGACGTCAGTGTAAACCAGTGGAGCTTTTCTTAGGTTGTAGAAGTGTGTAATGAAACCTTCGGCCTGCCGACAGGCCCATGGCTTGGTAAGGGGTTAAGAGAACGTATGAACAGAATAAAGTTATTATATATCAAGGCTGTTGAGTAATGTACTGAGTAAATTAGTAGCATATTAGTAACAGTGTGTGTCCACAGTCAGATATTTTTGTACAGATGCTTATTTGGACAAAACAGACACTTTTTACTGAAGTCTACAAATGTATTTCACTGAGAGAAAGTTTCAGTTGATTTTATCTGCTATTTGGGCTGTTTACTGTTAAAACCTCAGGGATGGATTAATGAATTGTAATTTCCTTTCCATTGAAATGAAATGAAAGACCAATATAAGTACCTTGTGCTTTATTCAAATACTGAACCCTCTGCTGATTTCTAGCAAATATATGAATTATTAACTTCTGCATGCAATATTTGAATCTGTGCCATAAGTTCAGAGTGGCTTCAAAACAGCAATCAATAGTTTCTCAAAAGGGACTAATTATCTATTTCCTTTAACCTTAAACCTTAACCTTCCTTAAACTTTCATTAACAATTTTTTAACATATGAAATTACAGATGAGCTATGATTCCTTCATGGTTATATAGATTTTTTTTCAGCATCACACCTTTGGTTTGCAAGCACAATATGAACAAATAGTAAACAGTATAGTGACATTTGTCCTACTCAAACTCACTGTCAAAGACCACATGGAGCTCCATAGACTGTGGGCTTATGCTGCGACTGTAATAATGCCCAAGGATTTTTTCCACATTTTGATCAAGCAAGAAAACATTTCATTGCCTTTCTTCTTAACTGCTGGTAATATGACCTCCTTGTGCTCACACAGCTTCTGTGGTACCACCATCTATACACCTGTGCTCACCCTCGCCACCCAGTGTCGGATTTACATCATTGCACCAACTTTTTAAGAACACATAGCTCCTACAACAGTAAGCCTTTATTATACTCCAAAAGCCTTTATTATACTCCAAAAGCCTTTATTATACTCCAAAATGTCATTTTTGGAGGTAACATATTCTTCTATTTCTTGTAGATGGGGATCTGTTATGTACAGAATCCTTAATCTCACAATCTCTCTGAGTCATTCCAATAAGTGTCCTGTCTTTTGGCCATGAAAATAAACGTCCTTGCCATGAAGACACAAAACAATTCAAAGACCATCACCATGATCATCTGAAGTTTCAATATGGCAGCGTGGCCACCGTTTCTCATTAAAATCAACGCTCTTCACTGTCACTGCTGATTTCATCTGGATGCACATTTGCTGCTGCTGGAGTCAATGATGTTTTCAAAACCTGATGACATACTTGATGTGCTCCTGATCTGCTTGTAACTTTCTTGCAGTTGGAATGTAAGGAAATCAATTTGATGGTCAGCAATGTAGGATGCATTTTGTGTTTATGTTAGTAAGATTTATCTGTTCTTATTCAGTTCTTAATAAAAAAGGAAACTAAGATTAGTTTGATGGGTCAAAAATGCCTAAAATAGATTTTTCAAGTATTGCATGCAAAATTGATAGGTTTGATTGAGATGTAGGAAAACTACATAAAACCTTGGTTTTACAACAATAATCTTGAGATTTGCACACGCTGACCTAAGAATGTACATCCTCCAATAAATTAACCTCTCATGACAATTATTAACATACAAACAGTTGATTTGAAGCAAAATATTATTCTTACTGTTGTACTTATACTCTTAACAAGTTAGCACAGTTTCAGCTCAGTTCAGTCATTCTGTAAACAAACTAAAAGTTTAAGATGCAGATTTAGAACCTGATGGTGCAAAATTTATCAAATGAATTACTTTAAAAAGTAATTGTAAACACTAAACACTAAAGTAATTGTAAACACTACGACATTTTGCATGGCTGCATGACATGACATTTCTTTTATTTGGTCTCCCCTCTATTTATTCTGAGCATAAGGCCATACCTCTTACCACCAGCAGGTGACAGCAACCTGTCATTAAACCAAGACGAACAAAAGCCAGGAGATTTGCCAGCATAACGTAACATGACCAAGGTCATAGGAAGCATGTTTTTTTGATGCATTAATATTTCCTTTTTTTCCCTATAAAACAAAAAGAATTTAATGTACATATTCGATATATATGTATATATATATATATATATATAGTATATATATATATATATATATATCTCCACAGAAAACAGCATCCACATTATCAGCCTTTTTTCTTTACAAAAAGAAGTAAAAAATGTTAATAAATAAATAGAGTTCTTTGTGTATCATATAATGATGTCACTTCAACAGTTACAGTTTCTCATGCCCTCATTAGGTGTGTGAAAGACAAGCAAGGTATTTGAAAATGATCTTTAAAGAGGTAATTAAGTATGTCAGCAATTAGTAAAAGCATTTACACATTTTATCACTCCTAAATCCAGTGTCATTTACAAAGTAATCTCATAATGACATAACAGTCCAGATGTTATAGCTTTGAAAATATTAACTTTGGCAACTTGATCCAATAGTTTAAGATGTAAAGTTCCACACAGGACCAGAACCTTCATGTATCACTGCTTGAACAATGTAGCCACGAAGTTCATGAGCAGTTTTTCTGTCTCAGTAAAGAAGGAGGTTTATTGCCCTGCAGTTGGCCCCTCCCTGCTCTTTAAGCTGTTATTTGAAAGCAGGGAGGAGCTTCACTGGGTATTTTGCTTCATGCACTCGTATGAGGAAGAGTTTTTCACTTCCATCCTCCAGCAACGCCAGTAAAAAATCATATTTGAGGTGAAACCATGCACAGTGAGTACCTTCAATTTTGAAAGCTTATCATTTTTCTAGTGTTATTTGAGAGTGTGCTTCATATATTGTACACGCTGTTTACTTTCACTTTCTATAGCATAGTGCGTCAAAAAGACAAGCACTGCTGAAAGAGCAGACAACTAAACAGAAACACACTGAGTTCTACATAGACGGTCCTGAAATTGTGCATTTAATGCAGTAAGCTTAACTCATATTCAGGAGGAAGAAGCATTGTTACTTTTATGAAATAGTTACTGAAATAGAAAGAAAGTTTCCAAAACATTTAAAAAACAACTTGAGTAGAAGGGCAGAAGTAGCAGGTCTAAAAACTAATTACTGAGTAACTTAATGAACTGCAAGGGAACTTCTCAATACATCCAGCAACTACCAGCATCAAAACTGAAGATTGTTGGGAGTTGTTCTGCTCTTTATGGGGTAATTTTGGTCAGAAGTCAGATGTGTGACCAATTGCAAAGCATTTTAGATGACACAAAAGAGAAATTAAACACAGGAAAAAAATTAAACACAAAAAAGGGAACTCAGATACATATGAAGGACTAAAAAGTAAAATACATTCTTCATAAATATACAGAGTAGAATATATAGAATATATAGAGTAGAAATACAAAGTAGGTCAATGCAGAGCACAGTTTGTTAAGTAATTTAAAAAGTATTTGTTTTTTATGCAAATGAATCTGTGCTACAAAAGAAAATGCCAGCCAAATGTCAGACTTTTTACACACAATCAAAAAACACGACCACATTGTGTTGTTCCTAGACACTCATGAAATTGTATGGTATGTCTGTGCACTCACTGTCCTGCCACATTAAACGATGCTCCTTATTGGTTGCACCTGCTGATCTCCTCACATGCCTGTCACTGCAGCTTGGCCTACTTTCTTTGTAAACTCTAACATATGCATATTGAATAATATTAAACAATGCTGAGTAACACTATAATACAAACATGTGTTTGTATTTTGCATCTGCTAGTATTGTATTATGCCAGTTTCTTCCCTGTCAGTGATGTACCACAATTACATGAGCGCAAATAGGCAGAGGTGGAAAGTAACAAACTATATTTACTCTTGTTACTGTACTTGAGTACTTTATTTCCCTGTAACAGTATATTCTGGAGTAAATTAAATCATAGTACTTTTACTTTTCCTTGAGTTGATTTATAATTAAGTACTTTTACTTTACTACATTTATTTTTAATAATGTTACAGAGTAAAAATAAATTATGAGCATATCAGCTCAGAAACCAATTAGCAGAAAGCCCAGATTCAGATTCAGTTTTGAAAAACAGTCAAAACAGACCAGCTTCCAAGACGTGTTCAGAGAAAATTTAGAGAAGACAGAAAGAGGAGAACGTTAACAGCACACACAAAAAACATACTGTAGTGTCTGGAGCCCCCCTCACAGCCCGAACAAAGTCTCTGGGGCACACATTGCTCATGCTGCGGCCTCTCTGGAGCCAGAGTTGTGGCTTGTCCACCGTCATGGCCAGCACAAGCACCTCAGGGTACCTGCTCCTTGACAGTGGGTATCCCCAGTCCTCTCTCAGGGTCGGGGCCTCCTGGCATGGAGCATGACATGGAAATGGTGGCAGGGCTCCTTGGTCCTCCTTCTGGGCATGCCAGAACTCCTCACAGCTTACAGTGTCAATTCCAACGCTACTGGAGGCAATGACAGCAGCAGCAGCACACTTCTCAGCCACCCTCTGCGTTACCATCATCAACTGCATCTTCGATGCTGACAAGGGTGCTGCTTGTGTACACTGCCCACAGGGATCCACCCACCGGCACTGGCACAGCTTATTCAGCTCCTGTAGGATTGATGGCTTAACCCACAAAAGCCGTGGTGCTCTCAGCCTCACCTGACCTTCACTTGCCCATCTCCAAGCCAAGCATTTCCTTACCGAGGTCGAGCACAGCCCCAGCCACCACAAGGAAGTCCAAGTCAAGTGTGCATACATCCTATATAGGTACGAGGCATGACTCGGGCACTTGGCTTAGGCCCCCACCACACCAGAAGCTGCTCCCTCACCAGCTCCATCTCAAGTCAACCCAGCTGCTGGTGATTGACTTGAGTTGGATGGTTTCCCAGTTAGCAGAAGTGCTGCTCTTGCTGTGATGGAGCAAACTTGGATGTAGCAGCGACACCAAAGAGCCAGTGTCAGTGAAGGCAGTGAGCTGTTTCCAGTCTATGCTGCACTTGACCCTCGGCAGCGGCTACTTGAAGGCTGACGAGTGCGGTGAGTGGCACATGCCATCTCAGCTCCTCTGGCAGCAGCATGTTCCACCTCTCTGGGAGCAGCCGCCTGGCCAACCATGTTGACGGCACCTGCCTGAAGCATTGCTGGAGGGCCATGATTGTCATGTTGTTTTGGTGGCAGATCCACAAGCACACACCCTTGCCTTTGAAGCATGGCATGCGGATGCATGGAACTTTCCTCTTGCTGGGCTCCAGCTGTGCTCGGCTGCCGAGCCTCGCTGTGCTGGTTGGATCTGTCAGGGAGTGGTACCCCCTTGCTTTGGGTTATGTCTACTTTGCTCTCTGCCTTCAACTTCATTGATGTGCTGCTTGATTTCTCCAAATTCAGCAGCCACATTTAACAATTAACAATTAATTCATTAGTTGTAACTACAACAACAACTGCTACAGTCTGATTTTAGCAGTTGTTGTTGTAGCCAGGAATGTGGTGCCTCCTGGAAGCCACTTTGCATGGCTCACCGTAAGCTCCTCATTGAGCACAGAGCCCGTGGTGGACATTACAATACTTTATCCAGACTGTCAGTAAAGAAAACAGCATTATTATCAGCTGCCAAATCTGCCCTTGAACCTGAACGACCTCTTTGCTTTTCACAACTCAGCTTCAGCCTAAGGGTGCAGCCATTAGCTGAGTGGCTAGTTGATCCCAGCTGAACAAGTACTGTGTTTTTTTACTATTTTCTTCGTACTTTGTTGATTTAGAATAAATTGCCAGCTATTTATTACACTTTAAATCTGCTGTGCGTGTTTTATTGCGGGTGTCTGTTAGCTAGCTACTGTAGTAACACAGGTGTCAACCTGTAGCTTACAGTCTGTCCATATAAAATATGGTTTTGTCTCAGTTTTAGAGGAAAACAGCCGTAAAAGTCTGAAACAAATTTTTTTTGTCTTATACAAGTTCCCCATAAACCCATTGCACAGTAATTTTGTCACACTCAGATTTGTTTTTCGCTCTCTTTTTTACAACTTAATGGTCTAAACAGTAATCTGATCCAACTGCAGGTAGTGGGGTGTGAGTTGATTTGTTGTGTGCACTTTTACACCTGAATATACTACCACAGCTTACTTGTGCAAGACTCTATGGTGCACAAACCTTAAGTGAACACGTAGCATTTGTAGTTAGCACTTGCGGTATACTCCTTGAAATATGATATTGTAGCATCCTATTTTGGCTTGTTTGGCCATGGACATGGACATGTGGGTGGTGTGGCCATACGGAGTGACGAGCGTGGAGCACCACGGGCAGCGTTGCGGCAGCGGTAAGAAACTTAAACTTCTAAATAGTTGTCACTGCATTGACAGCTGCACTCTTAGTTCTTGAAAATAATTCTCAAACATCAGGAAAGGCAGAAAAAGGACATTTAAAGATTCAGGCTTCATAGCAAACAAGCATTAATCTGAGTTGGCCCAGGCAGCAACTGACCAACCCACAAAAATCCATTCCTTTTATACCTTTTCATTCCAAGATATAACATAGTTTTAAAAATAATCACATTCCCAAGCCACAAGTAGACCCAGGCCTTCACGCTGTTTTATTACTCGTATTACATTGTTTTTTTCTAAAGAAAACTTGTGGGTTATACTTGCGTTTCTGTGTGTGCTTTTCCAGGCCAAGACCCTCACATAATGTCCAAGTGTCCCTAGTTTAGACCTGGTTAGAGCACGATGCAATTTGTAACAATCTCAGAGTTACATGGGCCAAACAGAGAGAACTGCTCACACAGAGAGAGTCATACAGCATCGTATGATTAATTAACTTATCCTTCCATTATTTTAGGAAAGTTGATAAAATCTTTTCAAATTATCTAAGAAAATCTCTCATACTGCGCCGGACTGTGTGGGGCTTGGGGTGGTTTGTGTGGGAGCCAGTATTTACAGTCACTGTGGGACGTGTGCTGCTGTGGTTCAGTAAAAGAGCTCTCATATGATGTGCTATGTTTCCTGCATCTTCTTCTTCTATGCTGATGCCTGTAGAGGCAAACCTGCTCAGCTAACCTCCCTTCAAATCCATGACACTGTGCAGGGCTAACACATGTGTTCAGAACATTTTCCCCCTCAATCTCATGACTCTACATTGTCATAGACTTTTGTCAGCTCATCACAGAATGCAGCTAGACTCTGCTTTCTCTCTCTCTCAACCCCCATTTCTCCCATACTCTTTCATCTCTCTGTCTCTCTATGCTTTTATGTTTCTGTGTATTTAACTGTGAGAGGCTGTTTAACTGTCAAATAAAGTCAAAATAATTTTCTGATTGTAATTCTTATGATTACCAGAGTACCAAAACTGGATGAAGTGTTGTTGCTAATGGTTTAAATGGTAGAAATATACTATACAGATAACAGTGAATTTATACAGTTTGGCCATGAATGTTTTTTTTACTGTCTGTAGAGGCTGACATCCATTAATGTAAGCTAACATTGAAGAGCTGATTGACAGTAGGGCTGTCACTAAAATCACACTGTGTAATGTACCTTTTATTTTGACTCTTGTTTTAAAGGCAGAACCAAAAAATAGACTTAAATATGTTAAATAGTAATGAACTATGCACAGTTGTCAGGAATTTTAAACTACTTTGCTTTACACATAAACTATGAAGCCTTACACCGATCAGGCGTAACATTATGACCACCTCCTTGTTTCTATGCTCATTTTCCATTTTATCAGCTCCACTTACTATATAGGTGCACTTCGTAGTTCTACTATTACAGACTGTGGTCCATCTGTT